AAAAAATCCAGTATCCTCCATACCAAGGCCTAAGTGATAAGGTGAATGTTGTCATGCCTATGAGTTGTAAGATCAGGAGAGAAGCAAACTCACTCCAAATGTAGGCCTCTACAGTCTTCTAGTCAAACTACAAAGCACCCCTATTTTCCCCAAATTAGCAAACAGTTCTGTTCAGGGATCAAGTGGGAGGAGGCAGGTTTTTCAAAACACTGTCCACTAACTACTGCCCTAAATGCCTTAGACACTCTAAGAAGAGTTTTCTACATCCTGTGAAAGGGACATTTTAGTGCTCTTTTCTGGCGCTTGTAAAAATGGGGAAGAGTAAAAGTGGGGAAGACTCTCACCAATGACGCCAGGGTTTGATGAAGTAGCACAAGCCTTAATCCCAGTGGGTTGGGAGGCTGAGGCAGGAGGATTCTGTGTTCAAAGACAGCCTCAGCAACCTCGAGGTACTAAGCAAGTCAGTGAGACCCTGTCTCTTAAAAAAAAAAAAAAAAATCTGACACCTAGTGCTTGGTTTTCCTTCCTCCCTTCCTCCCTCCCTCCCTCCCTCCCTTCCTTCCTTCCTTCCCGCCTCCTACCCACCTAGTAAGCAATGCTGCTGCAGCAGACACTAGTTGGGAATCCTCTAATCCAATTCAAGTTGTGTTTACAATGACTAAAGACATCTGGCTGGGCGTGATGTTGAGCCTCTCCTGGGTTAGTTACACAGCTTGTTTCCTCATTCCCAGGGAGAGTAATGATACATACAACGCACATTAAGTACTTAACACAGTATCTGGCGCACCAGATCCCCCTCCAGAATCTTCTGTTCGCCCCCGCCCCCGAAGTTACTGGTTCCTGGAAGATGGATGTCCTGCGACCTGGCAAGCTCGGTAGAAACAGACCGTCAAGCTGACATTTTCCAAATCTGCATAGGCACCTGTCACCCGGTACTTCAGCCTCTACTAGGTACCGTCTCGCAGGAGGACCGCCCCGGCGGGGGTCTGCTCAGCCCAACTCCTCCCCGCAAGCTCTGGCGCCGCCCTCTCCCCGCCTCCAAACTTCGCAGCCCCGGGGTCTTCAAAGCCCTCCAAGGCCAGCTGCTTCCTTCCTCCCTCTCCAGACCCATTTTCAGCCTTCTTCGAACTCAACCCCTCTGGCCTGTGAATCCCCGAAGCTGCTCCTTGCCGGGTCCCGGACTTCACCTCCATGGTTTCCAGGGCCTACCCGCTCCCCAACACGCCCTCATCCCACCTGCACTTTCTGCCTCTTCAGCGCCGCCGCGTCGAGCCACACGCCGCACGCCTCCTTCTCCTCCGGGCCTTTCCGCTTCATGACAGCTGAGGAGACCGAGCCAACTGGAACCCGGGAACCCGCGCCGGACGCCTCTGGAGACCGCCGAGGCCGCCTCCGCCAACGTTCGGAACTCGCGCCAACGCGGGGGGCGGAGCTACGCGAGGCGGAGCCACACCGCGGCCGTCTGGACTCAAGCCCCGCCCCGGAAGAGCCTGTCGCCGTGAAGCCACGCCCCCCGAAGCTCCGCCCGCTGCGTTAACGGCTTCAACTGCACATCCTTGGGCGAGTTCGGCGCTGGGCTTGCGATTCTTTCTGATCCTCTTCTCAGGAGTATTCCAGAAGCCCTGCTGTGTGAATGGGTTCTCGACGGCGGGCCGGGAACGCACATTTTGGCGTTGCCGAACTGCGCTTTTTACTGTGACTGTAATACCCCGGGGCTCGGGGGGCCTTCCTGTGTCATTCGTCCCCGAGGAAGCGGCAGACCGAGGGCCTGGCCCCGATTCCAAAGCTAGTATCAGAGGAGCTTGTGACTTTCGTAATTAAAACAGAAATCTAAACATCACTACTAAACCACATAGAAGAGGATTTTGCAAACGTGAAGTAAAAAAATTGGAGTCGAGCTAGTTGCGGGGAGCTGGTGAAGTATGTAGCTCAGCGATAAACTCTTGCGACCCTGGGTTCAATCCCCAGCATAGCAAAAAAAAAAAAAAAGTTGGAGGCCAGCCTGGGCAACTTATCAAGACCTTCCTCTTAAAGGGGAAAAAAAAAAAAAAAGCTTTCAGTGTGTAGCACTTTGCAGAGGAACAAGGGAGGTAACATTTGTGAAAGTACTTTTTAATTTTGAAAGCCCTTCACAAATGCAAAATGCTTCCTATGCCAGACCATAATCTTCAGGGGTGTGTGTGTGTGTGTGTGTGTGCGCGCGTGATGCATGTTTCATACATTATATATTTTAATATATCAAAATATTCATCAATATATTACATTTACGTATACATATAGTCCCCCATAATATTTTAGCAGTGGTATATTTCTTATTCATTTGGGGATTTTCTTCTAATTTTTCTTGATTATATACATATTGCTCATGTACTATGAGAAAAGCAGTATTATAAAAGTTAACGTAAAATCCTTGAAGAAAAAAACAAAAAAAAAAGTGGGACTCTGTATATTTTATACACATTCTTTTAAGTACTCCTCAAACTTAGTAATGAAACTCTCCCTACTCCCTTGCCAAATTAAGTCATATATATGTACATATGGGTGTGTGTCTATTACATATACCACTCTTTGTAAAATAAGACCCCAACCTGCCCGGGCAAAGATAAAACAGGAATTCCTCCCCTCTACCCTCAGAGGCTCCAACTTTAACGGGGAAAACCTCCCCCAATATCATGAGCAGGGCTCCCTCCCTAGAACAGGACACAAAAAGCAAAGCTGCAGCTGTTATCACAGTCACTTTATTTATATCCAGGACATAGCAAAAGTCCAAAGCAGCCCTGGCTCCAGACCCACTGAGCTCCTCCTGTGGATCTGGACCTTTGCTCAGGTTTCCCCCTCTGCCTGGAATGCCCTATTCTGTCTGCAAACTCCTATTCACTCTTCCCAGCCAAGACCCTGGGTACCCTGGGGAACACTTATTCTCTCCTCCCTTCTTCCTTGACAGTTCATTCTGGTATTAAATCCTCTGTGATCCTGCATTGACCACAGGGCCTGGTGGGTGGCCTGCCTCCGAGAAGAGGCCAAGGACGCACTGGATAGATTACTGAATCATGAATAAGAGATCTGGGAACTGCTGTGTGGGACACAGGCCAGAGCTAGGAGGCTTGGGGCTCACTGTCTGGGGCAGTGACTTGGATATGTGGCACTGATTGGGATCTCCTTGAGCCTGGCACAGTCTTCTACCTTTTGGGGCTCCCTGGAGCTCTGATCCAGGCTGGGGCTCAAGGGACAGTAAGGTCCTGCACATATTTGAGCCCGTCCCTTTCCTCTCTACTGATAAAAAGTGGGTAGAGGTGGGTTACTGAAGCCTCCCCTGCCTCTCAACTCAAATGTAACTCTGGTCTAAGTTTTACCATCCACCCAGACAATCCACAAGCCCCAATCCAGGGTCTTAACCCCAGCAGAGTCCCACCTTCACCCCTAGTGGGAGGCAGTGGAGAGAAAGCCAGGGTGGCCCACGCCTTCATCTTTTTCCCTGTCCCAAGCGGGGAGCTAGGCAGATCCAGAGTTGACCCAGCAGCAACTGGCCAATCCCTAAGTCTAAAGGTTGGCTAGTGCCATCCTTGACAGTTGGGGTATGTGCAGGGAGTCACCGCAGGCCAGACACAAACAACTTTACCAGGCCTTGTTCCTATCTGGGGCCAAGCCCGAACCCCTGTCCCCCACCATACCCCTCCCTACCGGCTGCCCCTCCCTTCACTTGGTCTTCTCGTTGAGTTTTCGCCGTACCAGCTGGCTGAGAAGAAACGCAGTGAGGACACTGCTGCCCACAGTGAGCAAGAAGAGGGCGGAGAAGTTGTGGGGACAGCGTGTGTGTAGAGGCTCATAGATGGGTCGACGGGCCTCGTAGTCCAGCGTCACTGCCTCCAGCTGAGCCAGGGTGCACAACACCAAGAAGACATGGAAAACCTGGTGGCCCTGCCCAAAGACATGGCAGCTGCCTGGGAACCAGCGCTCAGGCACGAAGGTAGAAAAGAAAGCGGCAGCCAGCAGAAAAAACACCACCTGGCACTTGTGGTAGAGAAGAGCTGGGTCGTCTATGTCAGAGTGAGGGGACACCAAGATACGGTGCACCACTGGGCTGATGTCCAACGCATAGGCCAGGGCCGAGGGCACCTCCTGGCAAGTGCGGCCCAGCAGGCCTGGCTTCTGGATGTACTTGTTGTAGCAGGAGCCGGTGCAGGAGAGCCAGGCCAGAAAGGCAGCCACAGGCAGGAAGATGGCCTGCACCCTGGCATGCCAGGCGGGCTCAATGGCGTAGTAGAAGTGCGCCAGGGCACTGCCAAACTGGTACACGGCCACACCCACGTAGTCCAAGAAGAAGAAGCTGTAATGCCAGAACTCGGACTTGGCCTGCAGGAGGTGGGCCAGGGCGCTGAAGGACAGGTAGGTGAAGGAGGCCAGGACGATGATGAAGAGCGGCAGGGCATGCGGGTCTCCCAGCAAGTCCACGGTCCCCACAAAGATGGCCAGCCGCAGGAGCAGCGCCAGGGCTGCCAGCAGGTGGGTCCACACGTTCACGGCCTCATTGTGCTGCTGGAACAGCGTGCGGAAGTAAAAGCGCCAGGTCTGGTGCAGGGGCCGGTAGCCAGCGTAGATGTAGGGCTTCCAGAAGAGGGGCGGCACCTCCGCTCGGTCCACCGTGAAGACCGGCTCCGGCTGAAGAGGCTCCTGGCCGATGTGCCACAGGCTGGACAGGAGGTGGCTGAACTTCTGGGCTACCGCCATGGCCATGGCTGGGGGCCTGGACAGGGAGCTGCGAGAGAAACCAGAGAGGAGTCAAGGGCCTGGTGTGCAGCTCGCCCCGCCAGCAGCAGCCCGGCTCTGATGCCCAGGTTCTCCTCCCTCTTCCCACAGCCCTGTTCCTGCTCTGGGTTTGAGGAGGGAACCACCCTGAGAAGAGTCAGATCCTACCTCAGGAAGCCAGAGCACTGCTTTGTTCCCTAAGAGCCTGAAACAGCCTCTGACGCACACACGGTCAATGTCAGCCCCACAGCAGCCCAGGTGTCTGCCCTCCTCCAGTCCAGTCCAGACTCACCACGCAGAACACTCCAGAAGGGCAGGTGCTCTCAGCCCAAGTTTGTGCCCCCATTAGTGTTCACCTGGTAGGACAGACCTGTTGCCTCTAAAGCCCTTCAGAGTTGCCAGGGGCTCCCGCTAATCTTCCATTTCCCTATCTGACCGGTGACTTCTTCCTTCTCAGCCTTGCTGCTCAACCACAGCGCACTTCAGCCCCAGGCACAGCCTCACCAGGCCCCTAGGACTGCTGCTTCACACGCCTACAGCTTTGCACAGGCCGTTCCCGAGACATTTTCCCATCTAGCCTACTTGGCAAACTCCTATTCATCCCTCAAAACCTATTTCTTCTGTCCTTCAGACTATCCTGTGGCTGTTACGACACTTCTTACAGACACTGAAATTGTTGACCAGCACTCAATGAAGGCAGACAGTTTGATTATTTTGCGCACTCCTGGTATTTCGCAAGAGACTGATACTCAGTATTTGCTGAATAAAAGGACAACATGGTAGCATTCTGATAACACTTCATGCCCTTCAAGGTCCAACTCCAAAAGCTACTTTTTATCCTGAAAGTCCCCAGCTAACAACCAATCCTATAAAAACAGCCCTTCCCCTCAGCCCCCACCTCCACTCTCCTGTTGCTCCTCAGCCAGTTTTCCCACTGTGCACATTTCTGATTCCAAATAAATCAAACTAACCCTTCATCCTGGCACTCCAGGCCCTATGAACTGCTCCAACCCTCATTTCCCACCTAACCCCAATGTCACACTGACTACCTTTCCCTGAGTTGAAATCCTCTGAGGCCAGTACAAGTTTCCCCTTCTGGGGGCCTCCTTAATGCCCTCCCTGCTTTCCCTCTGACCTACAATAGGTGACACAATCGATTCATTCATTCGCCTATCAGATCCTGAGCCTGCTGTGCCTCAGACGGGTGATGGACCCCGGACAGGGCACAGTGGAAAAGGATCCAACCCCTGCCCTTGGGAATCCCATGACCTGGGAGAGGCTACAGAAAGGAAAACAGCAACAGCAAATGCTTACACAGCACCAGCCAGGAGCCAAACAGCATTCAGTAATGATTGACCCTGTGGGGGAGACGCTGTCTTTATTCCCATGTTCCAGAACAGGAAACCCAGGCACAGGTATAAAGTACCTTGCCCACCCAGTCAGCCAGGAAGTGCAGAGGCACATGTCAAAGTCAGCCTGGACCCTTAACCACCACGCCAACCTGACCTTTGCAAGATGAGGTGGCAAGTGCCATTAGTCACTTCACAACTGCACTGTTTTGCCTGGTATCCCTTGCTCAATTCAGGTTTATCAACATTCATTAACTATTTATTGAAAAACCTGCCCAATTATTCCCCCCCATGCCCTGCCACCAACTGCATCCCCTCCAACAAGCTTTTTGGACTCTTTTGGACTCATTGTTCATCAGACTTCAACTGCAACCACCTTTGCCCCAGCCACTGTGTCGGCAGGGTAAAGAATTCGGTTCCCTGTCCCTAGCAGCAAGGTAATCACTTCCAAAGCCACCAGTAATTCACACAGTCCAAGTTAACGCAGGGCGCTAGCTACCCAGAGGCAGTGTACCAGCCCCGCCCTCACTTCCACCCCAGCCTGACCCCAACTTTAAGCTCTCCCCCACACACACTGGATTCTGGAGTTGGCCCTGGCACCTGGCTTTTCCTAGCCCAGCAGGAGGCAGAAGTTAATAAGTCCTTCACCACCGCACAGTGCCAGCTATCGAAGCTATGTCTTCTTGGTGTTGTGCCAGCTAAGGCAGCTACCTACCGCAGTGCCAGCTATCGCACTATCCCAGAGAGCCTGGCACAGGGCACGTTGTGCTGATGGACTAATTCGTGGGTCCACTTCCACCCAGAGTATGAGAACATGCCTGCGAACTGGGAGTCCAGTGCAGGACCTTTTCCTCCCCTAAGAGACTGGGCTTCAGCTGCAACCATTTGACCTCGCCTTGCACCCTTGTCCACCATCATGGCTTCCTAACTCAGGAGCTCAGGGGCCAGAAAAGGCCTCCAGAGGCATCTCATGCAGCTTCCTTGCATCACACGAGGAAACCAGAGCCTTCCCAGAGTTGCCATCCCAGCAAGGTTTCCACTCTGCCATGGGGAAAGGACCAGGGAATGACACTGCCCTCTTTACTAGGTCCTTATAATCTGCTATGTCCAGTCCTAAGTTCCATATCCCATTCTTGGAACTTCCCCAGGCGTAACAGCACATTAAAGGCTCTGAGAAGTCCCGCAGCAAAGATGTCTGTCTACTTAGCTTTGTTGAACCTACATGTTCTAAGCTTACATAGCAAGGACTCCTTTCCCAGTAATTGCATTATAAATCAGCACAAATGTCACGTGTTCACTATATGCTCATCTCTACAGCCCTGCTGCAGTTAATTCTCATTTCCCTGTGAGGTGCGTATTAATAAGCCCATTTTGGGGCTGGGATTGTGGTTCAGCAGTAGAGCGCTCGCCTAGCATGTGCAAGTCCCTGTGTTCGATCCTCAGCACCACATAAAAATAAAATAAAGATGATTGTGTCCAACTACAACTAAAAAATAAATACTTAAAACAAAGTAAGCACGGCTGGGGCTGTAGCTCAGCAGCAAAGTGCTCACCTAGCATGTGCGGGGCCCTGGGTTCAATCCTCAGCACCACATAAAAATAAATAAATAAAGATATTGTGTCCAACTACAACTAAAAAATAAAAAAAAAAAAGTAAGCCCATTTTTGTTGCTGCACATAATGAGCTCCTTACTTAAGGCCTGAGAGTGCGTGTGGCAGAGTCAAGGTTTGGAACCAGCTCCAGATCTTGCCCTCCTCCTGTCATACACATTTGCATCCCACAGGTGATTTTTTTTTTTTAAGAGAGAGAGAGAGAATTTTAATATTTATTTTTTAGTTTTCGGTGGACACAACATCTTTGTTTGTATGTGGTGCTGAGGATCGAACCCCCGGGCCGCACGCATGCCAGGCGAGTGCGCTACCACTTGAGCCACATCCCCAGCCCCCCACAGGTGATTTTGGACAATGCTGGTCTAAGCAGAAAACTGGGTCCTTTCCCGTGAACTATCTCCTTAGGCTTCAGCTGACTCAGCCTCCCTCAGCTGCCAGTCACTCACTTGCTCTGCACAGGGAAGCCCTGGCTCACAGCAACCTCCTCAGGAGGGGGACAACGCTTGCTCACAAACCCCATGTCCCCAGACGTGGTATGCCCTAAAGACAGAACCCAGAGGCATCATGTTAGGGTGACAAAGTTCCTGCTGCCCTATTTCCTTTAGGCCTCAGCCAGAGGCCCTGCCCCATCTCAACAGATCTGTTTTCAGAATTAATTCCCATCCCCTGTGTCCGTGGAAAGAGGGCCTGAATCCAGGGAAGAGGGGGAGCAGAGGAAGGAGCCAAGCCTAAGCCAGAGGAAGGGAGCAGGTGTCTGGAGGGACCAGCAGGGCATCCTGTGTGCAGCCTGCCCTCAGCAGCCAGGCCCCACCTGGAACAGGCCACCCAGCCCAGCCCTGCACACCTCCTCACGCCCCGCCAGGCCCTCCAATTGCACTGAGTACCTGAGATGTTTCTCTCAAACCTGGTGGCTGATGACGTCGGCTGTGGGACTGGGAAAAGTTGTCAGATGCCAAGCACTGGGTGGCACTTCCACAGGTAAGGGGCACTGGGGCGGGGCTTCCAGGGACTGAAGATGTCTTATGTGATGTCACCAGAGGGTGGGGCTAAGGACAACTTCCCCACCTCTCCCCTCCCTTCACAGCTCCCATACTGGTAAAATCCAAGCTGCACCGTGGGACCACCTAGCCTGGCGTCAGCTGCAGGAGGCAGCTCACCATTAACCTCTGTGTGAGATGCAGAAAAGCCGAAGGCTGAAAAGTTGTGACTTAACCCAAGGCCACCCAGCAAGGGAAGGGCAAAGCTGGGCTGGAGCCAGGTGTCTAGGACCTGGTTGATGGATTCCAGGCAAACTTGGCTGGTTCCTATCCTCTGCTCAGAGGGAATCAAAATGAAGGATACCAGAAATAAAGGAGAAAGCAAACACTCTAAAGGTTTGGGAAGGAGATAGACTTCTGATTTGGACAACCAGGTTTAGCACCTGATTCCATGGCATTCTAGCTGTGTGACCTTAGACAAATGACTCACCTTCTCTGAACCTTAACTCCCTCATGGGAATGACAATATTATCTATCTCTTCAACATCTCTAGAAATTAGAGAAATGCAAATCAAAATTACTCTAAGATTTCATCTCACTCCATTCAGAATGGCAGCTATTAAGAATACAAACAACAATAAGTGTTGGCGAGGATGTGGGGAAAAGGACACTCATACAATGCCAGTGGGACTACAAATTGGTGCATCCAATCTGGAAAGCAGTATGGAGATTCTTTGGAAAACTTGGAATGGAACCACCATTTGACCCAGCTATCCCATGCCTTGATCTATACCCAAAGGACTTAAAAACAGCATACTACTGAGACACAGCCACATCAATGTTTATAGCAGCACAATTCACAATGGCTAAATTGTGGAACCAACCTAGATGCCCTTCAGTAGATGAATGGATACAGAAAATATGGTACGCATACACAACGGAATATTACTCGGCATTAAAAGAGAATAAAACCATGGCATTTGCAGGTAAGTGGATGGAGTTGGAGAATATCATGCTAAGTGAAGTTAGCCAATCCAAAAAACCAAACGCCGAATGTTTTCTCTGATTTAAGGATGCGGATTCATAATGTGGTGGGGGCGGGGGCGCATGGGAGGATCAGAGGAACTCTAGATAGGGCAAAGGGGAGGGAGGGGAAGGGAGGGGATATGGAGGTAAGAAAAATGTTGAAATGAGACGGACATCATTAGCCTAAGTACATGTATGAAGACACAAATGGTGTGACTCTACTTTATGTACAACGAGAGATATGAAAAATTGTGCTCTTTATGTATAATATGAATTGTAATGCATTCTGCTGTCATATGTAACAAATTAAAATTTAAAAATTTTTTTTAAATATTATTTACTTCATAGATTGCTGCAAAGATTAAATTTACTAGAACTAAATTTTAGCATATGCTAAGTTTTAGCATAATATAGCATATGATTGCTATATTATTATTATGAATAAGAGTAATAGTATTTGAAATATCCCCCACTTAAGAAATGTGTTCTAGGTTCTCTCTCTTTTTTTTTTAATATTTATTTTTTAGTTTTCGGGGGACACAACATCTTTGTTTGTATGTGGTGCTGAGGATCGAACCTGGGCCGCACGCATGCCAGGCGAGTGCGCTACCGCTTGAGCCACATCCCCAGCCCTACGTTCTCTTAAAAAAAAAAAAAAAGTCAGTCCTCTTTAAGCCTTGAATAGCTTGTACCATTAACCTGGGGTCAGAGAGTTCCCTGTGTCTCCTTAAGCAACTCCCTTATCCCTGAAGGTATATTTAGGGATCAGGAAAATTTGGTTGGAGTTCAGACTTGTGAAGATAGTGACCTTCTTTCTCATTAAATTGTTCTCAGCAAAGACTATTCAGAGTAACCTACTGGATCCACAAAGCCCTAAAAACTGGCATTCACTGCCAGGCCCACTCCAGGTGGCTTGGAAGTGACATCCACAGGGCAGAGGGCCTCAATTTCAGCAGCTCCAACAGTCCTGGCCCAGGGCAGGACACTCAAGGTAAAGTGCTTGAGGAGACAATTCTAGAGGCACGTGTCCCGGCCTGGCCAGGTCTTGCAGAATATCTGGAAGGCTTCCAGGCTGGATACACCTCAGGGCTCATCCCCAGAGTCCCAGTGGGAATCCTCTGTTGGTCTGAGAGACAATTCACATTGCCCTTTCCTAAGCTCAAGGTACCCTCCTCACCTCCCTCCTCAGCCAAGACTTGCCCCAGATATCTCTTCCAAGACTCCATCCCAAGGTCAAAGTTTCACATAAGAGCCCTGGAGCAAAATGGAAGGATAGGCTGTGGGGGTGCTACAGAAAACCAGCTTTAGAGCCCAGTGCACTAGCACATACCTGTAATCCCAGGACTGGGGAGGCTGAGGCAGGAGGATCGCAAGTTCAAAGCCAGCCTCAGCAACTTAGACCCTGTCTCAAAATAAAATATATATATATTTTTAAAGTTGGGGGGCTGGGGATGTAGTTCAGTGGTAAAGTCCCCCTGGATTAAATCCCTAGTATAAATAAATACAAAAACAACAAAGAAAAAGAAAACAGGCTTTGGAGAAGGAGAGCTCAGAGTTACTCCCATTCCCAGATTTCACTCAGTGCTCATTACATGCCAGCCTCGGCCCTGCTGCTACCAGGATACTGTTCAGCTGGCGACCCAGAGAGCTGGAGAGGGCCACTGCCCCAAGGGTGGGCGTCCACCACTCACCTCTGACAGACAGTTTCAGGAGAAACCAGGATCCTCAGGTTTTATGTGCAGATGGGATTTCAGGCCTGGAACTTACTGGTGACTTTCCTTCTGAGCTTCTTTCCTTAGTTACAATCAGCTAACCCTTGGGCCCTTGTAAAAGCCTACTTTATAAATAACATCTCTTATCAGTATGATTTGGTTATAATTCTACTTCTTTGCCTCCTTCCTGGCATGCAAAATATTCATTGTTGCTTTTGAGCCCTGATTGTTCAGCATTTTTTATTAGAGACAACTTTATCTTGCCATGGAAGGCAAAGTCTAACCTCATTAGATAAAAATAATAAGGCCATGTTGTTGTTTTTTTCATGTTGAAAATTTTTAGTTTTTATTTGTTCTTTTTAGTGATACATGACAGCAGGATGTATTCTGACATATACATACATGGAGTGTAACTTCCCATTCTTGTGGTTGTACATGATGATGTGGGGTTACACTAGTCGTGTAGTCAATAAATGAACACAGGAAAGTTATGTCTGATTCATTCCACTGTCTTTCCTATTCCCATCTTCCCTCCCTTCCCTTCTTTCTCCTTTGTCTAATCCAGTGGACTTCCAATTTTTCCCACCACTGGGTGTTACATCTGCAGAACATTTGGCCTTTGGTTTTGGGGGATTAAGGCTATGGCTTTTACACATTACACATGTAATCATTTATCAGCATTTTTCATAACACTCAGCTAATATGCACAATTTTTGGTTTTAGGCAACATTTAAAGAGTAAATTTTTAAATAATAATAAGGCCAGGCACTTATTGGAAGGCTGAAATGGGATGATTGCTTGAGTCTGGGAGTTTGAGACCAGCCTGAGCAATACAGACAGCAAAATCCCATCTCAAAAAAGATAAATAGCTGGCACAGTGGCACATACCTGTAATCCCAGCATTGGGGATGCTGAGACAGGAGGATTGCAAGTTCAAAGCCAGCAACTTAGCAAGGCCCTAAGGAACTTAATGAGACCCAGTCTCAAAATAAAAAATAAAAAGGGCCGGGGATGTAGCTCAATGGTTCAGCATCCCTGGGCTTAATTCCCCAGTAAATAAATAAATAAACAAACAAAACAATAAGAAGGACAGGCCAGTGTTAATACAGGGTCTCTCAGAGGCAAACCCTCTGCAGGGATCCTAAAGAGGAGGGCACATTATGACAGAGCCTGAACTATTAGTATTAGGTCTAACATTAATAAAGTTATAAGTGCTTTGCTGTTTAGCAAGACCTTCCACACACACCTCCTCTCCCTCACAACTCTGAGCCTGAGGCTAACCTGTCATCACTGTCAAGGAGGCAGGATGGTCAAGCACCTATATTTCCAAGCCAGGACTCTTGTCCTTCCTCCACCATAGTCAGCTCCCTGGTGCCTAGTAGAGGAACACAGATTGGACAAGCAATGTTCCCCTCTCTCAGTGGCCTCCAGATTTCTCAGCAACTGGGTCACCTCCCTCACTGCAAACCAATTCCCCAACTCAGTCCAATATGCTTAAAGAAAAAGCCCCGCCAAGGCTTCCAAGACTGCACAAAACCCGCTTTTGTTTGTAACATACTTTGAGCCTCCCTCTGTACTCAGAAACGTGATCAAAATGAAATAAGCAAATTAGGGTGGGGGGCTGGTACTGGGGATTGAGCCCAGGGGCACTCTGTCCCTGGCCCCTTTTAAATTTTATTTTGAGACAGGGTCTCACTGAGTTGCTGAGTTGCTCAGGCAGACTTCGAACTTGCAATCTTCCCGCCTCAGTCTCCCAAATTGCTGGGATTACATGCCTGTGCCATAGCGTCTGGCTTGAAATAAGTAATTCTTGAAGAAATTTTTTCGTGGAATTCATATTCACCACTGCTCTGAGGAGGGGACCCTGGGGCAGGGCGGCAGCCCAGAAAGGTTGGCCACAGCCAGCCAGCACGGAGCATAGGAATGGCACCTGATTTGCACTGCTGACCTGCAAGAGCCCTCTGGGAGCAGAAGTGGGACCACAGAAGAGCAGCCTCTCACCGAGGGAGCCCAGGGGCGTATAAGCCCAGCCCCACTATGGGAGACCAGGTCCCTACCCAGATAGGAGCTCCAACTTGAGGTCCTACCTGTCTAGCAAGTGCAGTCAGGCTCTGAGAATCCATCAAACTCCCAGGCCTTGGCTTGAAATAGCCGCACAGGCCTCGGGGAACTGCCCCAGGTAAATCTCTGGGGTCCTCAAGCCTGCAGGTGAGAGGTCATTGCTGTGAGGAGGGGCGTGGAGCGTGTTCCTTCACCTTGGGGAAATCATGCCCTCCTGATCCCTGGGAGGGCAAGGACCTGGGGAGCAAGAGTGTCTCCTGGGCCCCAGCACTGCTACCCCCTCAGTTCTGGTTCCCCACAAGGACCACCCACACACCTTTCTGCCCCATTATCACGTCGATTCCTCCTCCAGGAGGGGGGCGGGCGGTGGGAGGCCCTGCTGGGTGGGGCCGGCTCCCGGCCTAAGGTCTTCCAGGTCCTCCTCATAGCCAGGCCAGCCCCGCCCACTCCCGGGACCCTGCCACCGCTTCACGGTCCTTCCGCTGTCCCTCCTTCACTCTCCCCCCAAGTGCTCCCCGCCCAGGCCTCTCGCGCGCTCCCGGATTCGGGGACATGTCGCGTGCGGGCGCGTCCTCCCCTCCCCGCCCAGGGGCTCCGCGTGCTGCCTCCCACCCTCCCGCAGGAGCGTCCCCGGCTCTGCGCCTCCTTCCCGCCCCTCCCTCCGGGGGCTCCTTTAGCGAGCGCCCCCACCCTGCACCCCGACCAAGCCCGCTCCCTCCCGTCGGCCCCACCGCGCAGAGCCGGGAGCACCTCGGCCGCGCCCGCGGGCCAGCCTCACCTGCGGGGGGCAGAGCTGGGAGCCGGCGGCGCGGGCCCGCGGAGGGCGGCAGATAAAGGGCGACGGGAGGCGGCCCCGCCCCGAGGAGGCCCAGGAGCCCGGGAGGGCGGCGCTGCGGGCACCGGGGCCGGCCGCCTCCCCCGCGCCCGCCCGGCCGGACTTGGCCTTGCGCAAGCACGTGTCGCCCCCGCAGGCGGAAGGGTCGCTCCCACCCGTCACAGCACGTCCCGGGACTTGTTGAGCTGGTGGTAGAAACCGGCAAAAGCCGATCCCGAGAGCAGAAGTCGTGGTCAACTTCCTGAGCCCGGCAGAGCGGCTGCAGAGGTCCTGGGCCCGGCCAACTTGGGGAGGGCCAGGGGTAGTTGTAGCAAGAAAATGTTGGATTGTCCTCGCTGGAGCCCCTGGCCCAGCACACATCCCCTCCTAGGGTGCTGGGGTCCAGCGGTGACCTTCATTTCTCTGCTTGTGGCGCTGCACCCCCTCCTCGGGCGCGCCTCTCATTCAAGGTGTCACCCAGAGCCCTCTCCTAGAGCAGCTTCCTGGATCTACCCAGGCAGTGCTGTTGTCTGGACCTGTATAAAAACATCCACTCGGAATGAACCCCAGGGTTTAATGCCCAGCTACAAATCCAAACGAAAACAACCCCCAGTGTCACATCTCCCACCAGGAGTCCGGGCACCTGAAGGTTGAGGAATCCTTGTACCTAGTGGACTTTCAATAAATACTGGATCACAAGGCCACTGATTGCAAAGACCTGGGCCAGGCAGAACGGGGAGACACCCTCACGCACCCTGTCTGGAGGTCGGGGCGTGGTACACAGGCCTTCCAGGAGACATTGCCCCGCCCTGGAGGAGCTCTGAGTCCACTATGGGAGGATGCTGTGGTTTGAGGGTACATGGCAGTCCCAGGCTGGCACTACCCCAGCTCACCTTGTAACCTTAGACAAGTTTTGCTCTCTCTGGGCCTCAGTTTTATAATTTGTACAATTGAAACCAAAACCACCGAACTCAGGCACATTAGGATTAAATAATACAATGGACATGAAGCTTCTTTGCCCACTGCAAAATACTAAGGGAATGTAAATTTCACTCTATATTACAATGAAACTTATATAATCATAATGCAATAGCATGAAACCCATCTCTCCTTCAACAAGTTCAGACAAACCAAAAAGAAATACCTAAGTCTGCCAGGGATAATGGTGCACACCTGCAGCCCCAGATACTGAGAGGCTGAGGTAGGAGGACTGCTGGCACTCAGGAGTTACAGCAAAATGGCAAGACCTGTTTCAAAAAGAAAAGAAAAAAAGGGGGGAAATGAGAGACCTAAATTATTACTTAACTCTTTCTTCATTTTCCATGTGGATAGAAAAAGTAGCATAGAGCCAGGCCTGTGGAATTTGCCTGTATTCCAGTGACTTGGGAGGCTGAGGTGGGAGGATGGCAAGTTCAAGGCCAGCCTGAACAACTTAGAGAGACCCTGTCTCAAAAAAAGGGATGGGGATGTGGCTACGTGGTAAAATCACTCCTGGGTTCAATCCCCAGTATAGAAAGAGAGAGAGAGAGAGAGAGAAAGGAAGAAAGAAAGAAAGAAGCTGTGTGAGTCCAGCTCCAACAGGGGGTCTATGAACAGATGGTGAGGAGTGGGTGAAAGTGGGTAGAGGAAACAACACAGACACAAAAGTGAAGGTGCTGAATCCCGATCTTTACTTGTGAAGTTAATCATATTTACTTTTCATTTTGGCAGGCTCACAGTATTTTGTGGTTACAAAACAGGAATCCTTATTCAAAGAAACAAAATATTAAGTAGCTACAATTAGATAAGAAGAATGTATCTTGGCTTATGCATAAGCAAGCATTTTTACTTTCAGTTCATGTTTTGCTTTGAGCTGTTTCTGCTTAGTTAGCTTTTAATAATAGTTAGAAATGTCCCAGACTACTGGCCTATACCTTGACTATTCTTTCTTGACTTACTGCCAGGGTTATGGCAAGTGGTTAACTTGAAAAGAGAGGCTACTAATTTTAATCAAACAAGAATAAGAGCACCAAACCATTGTGCACAGGAATAAGAACAAGTTGCCCAGTACTAAGCACTAATCTGTCTTCTTAACATTAATTCTTCTTCTCTAGATTTTAATTTAATTTCTCAGAAACTTCCTTGACTGTTTTTCCTACAGGGGGTTTTTCATTAAACATTAACAATTTACATTCCACAGCTGAATCATTGCATTTAGAGCAAACAGATGTATTCTTTAGAAGTAGTTGCATTAATTGGGAAAGTCATGTTTTTTCCTTCTACTTAATGGTCATATGAGAAGTCGCAACTATACTTATTAATGGAATACAAAACCAAACCAGCCCATTCCCAGAAACATACTGCGCTCCTCCAGAGGATGGATGCCTTGCACCATCCACCTCAGTAGGGCCTTGCCTTTTTGCCTGAGTCAGGGGAGGGGCGCAGCAAGTAGCATAGAAAATCCTTATTTAGAACAAATATGGTACCGGACATGAAAATAATGACATTATGGAGAAAATATTCTATATAATGGAATATAGGGTATCCTAGTGAATAAAAACTAAAGTCTCAGAAGATGGCTTGGACTCAGCTTTCGTTTTGAGAACATCTGCTCTGTGCTGGGCTCATTTTTAAAGCAACAGTTTAGGAAGCTCTTGCCATGTAACAAGCAGTGTTCCAAACACCAGTGTGCCTCTTCTGATCCAGCCAACCCTATGAGCAAGCACTATAATTAACCTATTTTGCAAATTAGGAAACTGAATCTTAGAAGGGTGACTTTTACACTAACTTAAGCCTCATGCATCCCTTTGAGGCAAGAGTGATGACACCCATTTTATGGACAGAAAAACTGAGGCCCGGAGGGGAGAAATCATATATCTCAGGTCACACAGCTCCAGAGCTAGTGGATCTCTGAGAAGTGGGCCCAGAGGTGTGCGGGCATGAGAGAGGTCATTTACCCATGAAACGTGGCTATGGTTACTTGAAAGTTAAATAATTAATAAAAGTGAGGGTACAGTGGGAGGATCCCTTGAGTCCAGAAGTTCAGACCAGCCTGGGCAACACAGCAAGACCTCATCTCAAAAAAAAAAAAAAAAAAAAAAGGAGTTAAAAAATAAAAAAGTAAGGGCAGTAAGGAGTTATGGAGTACTTGCTCCCTGCTGGGCCCGATGCAAAGCCCTCAGACACCCTGAAGGTCCACAAGGATGCTCTGCACTCTTGGATGAGGAAACAGGCTCAGGATTATGCTGCCCACACAAAGCCACTCCCTTAGCTAGTGGGGGGCCTGCACCCAAGCCCACTCTTATCTGCTGCTCAGGACTGGAATCAAGGAGTCCTCCTTTGCCCTCCTCTGCTCCAGCCCAGCGAGTATGAGAACAGTCCCTGGGCAGCAGTAGGCACCTCCCTTCACTTCCCTGCCACCCCCAGCTCAGTAGGGGCACCTACAGCTGATAACCTAGACACCCCAACCCCTGAAATCCTTTGAGCTTGGGACCCAGCTGGCTGCTGCACCTGGGCCCAGGCTCGGCCTTTGGGGAATCAAGGTCTCCAGCCTGGATTTCTGGGGACCAAAGTCAAGTATCTGACAAAGTCAACAGATCTCAAAAGCCAGCTCTGAACTGGGGACCATCAGGAGGGACTTCAGTAGACTCAGGGTAGGAGACGGGTGAATGTGTGGTGCCTGAACTGACCCCAGCACTATCTTCTCTTTCCCCCAACACAAGCTCATCTATTCATTGTGGGCAGCAAAGCAGCGAGGCTGGGGGACGGGGGGATCGTGCCTGGGTTCACACTTTAGCTCTACCACTCACCAGTTGTGCTTCCTTGGGCAAGTCACCTACCTCTCTGGACCTCACTCTCCTCCATTCAAAAATAGGGTCATGCTGGGCACCAGGCACATGGCTGTAATCCCAGTGGCTCGGGAGGCTGAGACAGGAGATTCCTAAGTTCAAAGCCAGCCTCAGCAACAGCGAGGCGCTAAACAACGCAGTGAGACCCTGTCTCTAAATAAAATACACAATAGGGCTGGGCATGTGGCTCAGTCATCGAGTGCCCCTGAGCTCAACCCCTGGTACAAAAAAAAAATAATAGGGTCACAGTAACCCACTTCTAGGGTTGGCAGGAGGAGCAAAGGAGGGGGTGCATGTGAAGCGCCCCCAGCGCCTGGCATTCAGCGATGCTTCCTAAATGCTGAGAATTACTTCATTCCTCACTCCCCTCACTTTTGCCAACAAGCAAAAAAATAAAGAAAGGGACGAAGGAAGGAGGGTCGGTGGTAGCCCAGAACTCTGAGGTCATTGTTAGGCAGGAGTATTCTTGTCCGTCTTCACCGCAAAGCCAGGGTTCAACCCCAGGGCGTCTGGCGCAGGCCCAAAACTCTCAGCTGTGCCTGGAGGGACAGGGGCACAGGGCAGCGGCCGCGGATTTCATGGCCTTAAGATCTGCTGATGAGTCTTGGGATGAGTTCACCAAGCCCACAGGAGGGGACCCAGCATGTCCCCATGCAGAGGGGTGAGGCGGGTAAGTCTAGGCGTGAGCACGTGTTGTGGGGCTAAGGCCCAGGCACTGGTGGTGGCAGAGGATATTAAAAGTAGAGGTGGGGCTTTGTGCTGAGGGCAGTGTGGGGACGGGAGTCAGGGCTTAGACAGAGGTTTCTCTCTGGAGGGGGTGGGGTCGGAGGGGGAGTTTCAAGAACTTTGAACTTCAGGGCTTGTGTCTGAGGCTTGCCTGAGAATCCCAAAGAGGAAGGACTCCCTGTAGCCCCCTGAGGCCACAGGGTAGAGGGCTGTGGTGGGAGGGAAGGCCTGGGCGTGGAGCGGCTGCCTGGCCATGCAGGCACCGTGGGTGTGGGCCTCCCCCGGCCCAGGACTGGGCTAACAGGACTGGGCCAACCTGGAGTGGCCTTAGCCCAGGAAGGTCCCCTCAGGCGCCCTGGGGTCTCTGCCTGGAGGGATCCCGGGATGTCCAGGGATCAGATAAGTGGCTGGTGGTGACTCTCTGCAGTGTGACAGACATGACAGTGCCCAGGTCACACCTCCTG